TCCTCTTCAAATCACCAATAATTGAACTAGTGTTGCAAAAAACAGCGTATCTCAAACGCCGTCAAGAGACGCAGGGAATGGAGTCCGATTTTGAGGTTTCAGGTCAACCGGTTACCTCTGAGGTCAGGTCCCATAGACTCGTTTTAACAACTACGCGCTTACAAACACGTTGGCGCTGGTTTAACCCGCACCACATAGGGGGGGGGGGCGAAACGGCACCTTGTCCTTTTCCGTAGATATCTCCTAAATGACTGCAGATATCGTCACCAAATGTTAACCCGCGCCCAGATGGGGTCTGCCGAGCAACGCGGTCTGATGGGGGGGGCCATTTTGGCCCCCCCCCCCCTCAGATCTCGAGAACCACGCAACATAGCGACAAGCGGTAAACGGTGTTGGATAGCCCCAGCGGGGAACTACCTTGTGACCCAATTTCATTGACCTCGGTCAAACCGATGACGTCACAGGTCAGGTCAAAAGTCGAATTTTCACCGTTTACAGGCATTTCAAGAAATGCGTTGTAAAATCGAGTAAAATGCATTTCATTGAAAATCATCGATGGAGAAATGTTCTTCAAACACATATTTTGCTATTTGAGGTCACTGATACCAGGTCAGGTCACAGAGGTCAGGTCACTGGGGGGTCACAATATGAAAGTGTCGTGTGATACATGTTTTATGGTCCATTTTACATGACAAATGCGATTATGTGTGTCAGACAGACTTTAGGGCCAGCTAAGGTCACGTTTTGGTCAAGGTCAGGTCAAGGTCAAGGTCAAGGTCAGGTCAAATTAGGTCAAATTTCAAAGTTGATATTTTTGCATAAAATGGGTATCGATTCGATGCAGCTCGTCACGAGGAGTTCAATGGTGGTCTCCGTTTTGCGCTACGAGGTCTAGAATTGCTAAAAATTGAGTTCAAAAATTTGACGTCATCAATTTTTAACAGTTTTTTCGCTATAACTTGGCCAAAAAAAGAGGTATCGATCTAAAATTTGGTATGTATATCGAAGAGCGCAGGGACTATCACATATATTCCGGTTTTTTTCGAAATTCGAAATTTTTTTGGAAATTTTTTTAGTTTTTCTAAAAAAATCAATTTTTTTGATTTTTGGGGGTCAAAATCCCAAAATTTCGAAAATCCGAGATGGCAGTTTTGTAGCGCCGTCTTTTCTCTACACAACCACATAAAGAACTTTAAAATTGCTTGTTAACTGTAGAATTGGTGAGCGTTTCAAGATGTCATGTTTTTTGCTCATTTTTGCTCGAACATGACCTCAGTTTGACCTCAATAACTCCTGACCTGAGGTGACCTGTGACTTGAAATTTTGTGTGAAGGTGTCAAATTGATGCCCGGTAAGGTACCCAAAATTTGGCGGCGCTGCGCGCCGCCGTTTTCTCGCTATTTAAGAAAAACCACAGGGGGGGGCCAAAATGGCCCCCCCCATCAGGGCGCGGGTTAAGGACCCCTCCATTCAACACATTGTGACCAAAAATGTCCAAAGGCTAGATAGTTTGGTCACAAATGATGTCAAAATGACGTCATGTTAAGCCATTTACGACCCATGAAAAGGTTTCGCGGGAAGAGCTGTCAGGCCTAAAGCTTTGAAGATACAAAAAAAAAAATTCGGGACATAAAAGGTGTAAAATTATCAGGGATAAAAAAGCTATTTGGATTTTGAATTTTCGGATTTTGACCCCAAAACTCAAAAAGTAATTTTTTAGATATAATAGTAAAAAAACTCAAGGTTTAGAATTTCGAAAAAAAAAAAACATTGAATTTGAATCAATATGAAAGTCCCTTGCGTCTTTCATTCACCTACCAAATTTGAGATCGATGCCACTTTTTTGGCCAAGTTATAGCAAAAAAAAACTTAAAATTGATGACGTCAAAATTGTAAACTCATTTAACAATTTTAGACCACGTAGCGTAAAACAAAGACCACCATTACACTCCCCGTGACGAGCTGCATCGAATCAATACCCATTTTATGCAAAAATATCAACTTTGAAAGTTGACCTAATTTGACCTGACCTTGACCTGACCTTCATCAGAACGTAACCTTAACCCTCGCCGGCCGAGGGGGGGGGGGGGCGGGTGCCGCCCCCCCCCCCATAGGGTTTTTTTCGCGATAGCTCCGAACACGCTGGCGATAGAGAGCTGAAACTTGGAATACCTGACCTTTGATCCAAGCCGGATCTTTTGACACCAACCGCATTTTTGGGTCAGGTCAGGTCACTGACCTATGACGTCATAAGTGAACCTCTGCACGGTCTTCAGATGTCGCAACTTCGCAACGCCCTCACTGCCAGAGGAGATGTCACAGGGAAATGAAACTTGCAGGATCTAGTATCCATTATGAGTCCCACAACTTGTATATCTCGGATTTTTCCTAAAGGTCATATGAGGTCAGGTCATTTTCGTGACCTCACCATTATAAGTCAATGGGGAAAAATGAAAACTGCTATTCTGGCGTCGGGAACGATCTCCAACTATCTTAAGCACACAGAATCGAGATTTGATGCACTCCTTGCAAGGTTAGATGCGTCACTTTTGCAATGTTGACCTTGCGTGACGTCATTTATGACGTCATCAAGGTCATATTAGTTTTTCGTCAATAACTCTTGATCAAATTGAGCTAGCGAGTCGGGAAAGCCACCAATGGACTCAGGAAGACCTGCCGAATCAAATGATATGCGACATGACCTCTTTCGACCAACTTCGTGACCTGGGGGTGCTGACCTGACCTTGACCTGAGGTCAACACCCGAAGTTGACCTGACCCGGACAAAAAGTATATCATTCGACGCGCCTGAGCGAGACGAACACGATGCTGCCAAAATCGGCGCTCTGCGGCCGTTTTTTGCGAAGTTATTCACCAAAAACTGAACCGTACCTTGGGGCACTTGACCTGACCTCAGAGGTCACCGGTTGACCTAGGACCTTAAAATCGGGTACCAATCTCTGCGTCTCGTAACGGCGCACACGCTCGTTTTTTTCCGCGACGCGCTAGCTCCACCAGGGGCGAAACGGCGAGGGGGGGGGGTCGTACCCGCCCCCCCCCCCCCCCTCGGCCGGCGCGTATGTAGAAAACCAATAGGTCCGGCGAGGGTTAACTGCCCCAAAGGCTGCCTAACTCACATAATCGCATTTGTCATGTAAAATGGACCATAAACCATGTATCACACGACACACGAAACATGCATTGGGACCCTCAGTGACCTGACCTCTGTGACCTGTCCTGGTACAGTGACCTCAAATAGTAAAATATTTGTTTGACGAACAATACCCAATCGATGATTTTCAATGAAATAAATTTTACTCGATTTTACAACCTGTGAACGGTAAAAATGCGACATTTGATCTGATCTGTGACGTCATCGATTGGCCTGAGAACAATGAAATTGGATCACAAGGTAGGTTCCCGATGGGTCTATCTAACGCCGTTTGAATTTTGGAAATCGGCCGGTAACTTTCCTAGATCTTAGGGGCCCGAGCGCCTTCCCCCCCCCCCCCCCCCCCCCCCCCCCCCACGGATTGCAGGGTCCGCCGATAGTCCTGCGGGGCGCGGGTTATGTTAGGAGGGAAAGGAAAAAGCATTGATGGCTTCGTGTAATGTGCATGGAAGGCAAAATATCATCCTCAGATAGCGTTCCATCAACCAAAACAACAACAAACCGCAAGCCGATATGCAATAAATGCAAGGTGAAAGAATCGAACTACACCATATTACAAAGAGAGAAAAATGCGCATTTATTTGCACCGGCGAACTGAACAAGGCAAGCCTGTTACGCAATTTTCTTATCAGTGAAATTTAAAAAGGATGTCTGCAGCTGCAACTGAACACGTGTTTTTGCTTTTACCTCCTGAACAAGCTTTTTTGAACAATAGATTACAGTGTCTTATTACGGAATACGGATAGATGAGTGCACATCGACACAGCAAAGCTCCTCAATACGTCTATAACACACCCCAAAAGAAATCAGGGCGCGTAAGAATTCAATACACTTTTTTGTTCTCAAAAAGAATAAAATGCAGTGATGCACCGCTCGCTGAGGTTTCGTAAAAGTTTCAAATAAAGCACTTGCAAGCAAAAAAATAGTATTAAATATTTTATTACATATTTTCTTTAGCTTTTCAAAACATAGTTTGTTATTAAAATTTCTGTTTGACTTCGGAGTCTCTAGATTGATAATCTAATTTATTGTGATTTGTTTCTGTGCACAACTTTTTCAACCGAAAAGGAACGACAACCATGACCTGAATTTGATCTAGAGACCTAAAAAGACCCTAGGGCCCATTTTTTTCAGGCAGTGCGCAATATGTCCAGACAGGTACTGAAACTGCGTGTCAAAATTCGTGGCCTTTTTATAAAGATATCTGCGAAAAACCACAAGGGGCCCTTTGGGCCTGCCTCATGCCTGTGTTTTTTTCTAGCGTTAACGAGTCGCAGATTAACATAAATACTCAAAAGAGTGCATACCGATATGCCCTGATAATTAGGCACACCCGTATCGAGGCTCTGTTCATGATACGGTTCCATGTCTTGTAAATGAAAAGTAATTTGTCCTAGGTGTGCGTAGGAATCCCGTCCCTGCTCTTCGTGCATTCAGAGCAGCTATAGAGATTCTCGCATTTTCTATGATGCTGTAGGTTCTCTTGAATCACAGTTAAGTTCCATTGACTAGGTGCCGCGACTCTCAGACCCAATCACGGACACCGGACACTGAGGTGCTAAAAAGAGACATATCTAATCTGTCTTCCAGTTATCTGAGACGCGACGAAACACGACCGGCGTGAAATTCAGGCACGACATTTACGGACGACGCAATCAGAAATAGCTAGCAGAAGCTTGTTCAATGATCTGGTGGGTGGATGGAATGACGTTAGAGTCTGTCATTTCGTTAGACGTCAGTGAAATCAACACCAAGTCTATGAATAACAGAAGGAGCATGGAAAACAAGTAAAGAAGAAGAAATTTAGTTGGAAAAATGGCGGAACCTACCGTTCATCTCGTAGTCGATCTCCAGGTGGATGGTGCCCCCGTGCTCCGCCAGCTGCTCGCCGCCGCTCAGCGCCACGGCCAGGTGGCGGCCGCGCCTCTGCCACGGCTCGACGGCGTGCAGCCAGCGCAGCACCAGCGCCGACGCCTCCACGCTGGTCATGCCCTGACACGGCGCCACGGTGACGCTGAGGGGCGTCTGCGGCCGCCGCGGGGGCCTGCCGCCCCTCCGGCGCCGACGCCGCAGGCCGCGCCGCCGCCGCCGGTCAGAGCGCAGCAGGTGCCGCGAGCACGGCAGCCCGGTCGGGTCACTGCGTGCACACAGCAGCATGCGCAGCTGCACCGGCTTCCGAGGACAGGCGACGCGCAGTCGCGCAGCTACCAGCACAAACTCTTCAGAGGCAGCGTCCGCGGAGAAGGTGTCTCCGGTGTCGGCGAAGACGGCCACCAGGTGCCCGTAGGCGTGCAGCATGGGCAGCTGCGCGGCGCGCCGCACCTGCACTGGGAAACAGCCGGTGGTGTTGGCCTGCTGCGCGGGCGGCAGCTCGGTCTCCCCAGGGCCGGCCAGCGAGAGCCCGGGCAGCAGCAGCAGCAGCAGCAGCAGCAGCGGTGGCAACAGAGCAGGCCTCGCCAGCAGCATTGGACCGAGACTGAAACCAGCAGGGGCAGGGAAACTTTTAGATTGACGATGTTCCGCAGTTTCTCAATGCACCGACTGCGTCGCACGTTGAGCCCATGGCAGGAAATCTCGCCTCTATGCAATGTTTGTGACTCTAAATCAACATTTGGCTCCTCTATGTCTTCAAAATCGCTTCATTTGATTCTGAGGCCCATCAAACAGGCGATAAAAAGTCACTAGCATATTTTCGACAATAGATTGTGTCAGAGGCATGTTACAACGATGAAACGAGATGTATTCAGCTCAACAACACCAAGCGTTTGACATGCAACATGACCACTACCGGCTCGGTCATTACCAGGTACATCAGGCTGATCACGTGACCTCACAGTCAGTGGAGAAACTATGGAAACTGTTATTTTTGCGCCGGAAATGATCTAAGACATCAAGACCATCTCAGACTGTAAGCGTGATTCCATACACCTCCCAGTCCCGATTCTTAGCGATGTTATATGTCATGTCAAGGTCATCGGAGTTTTTCGTCAATAACTCTTGCAGTTACACTGAGCTAGTGCGAGTTGGGAAACCATCAATGGACACAGGAAGACGTTCCAAATCGAATGATATGCTATACGACACCTGTGAGGCTGTGACCTGACCTTGACCTGACTAGACGTAGGGCGGTGCTAGTTCTATGAAGATTGGCTTTTGATATAGATAGACAAATTGAATTATAAATGGAAAACAATGGGAACGTTTTTGGTTATATTACTTTAAGTTGGCTACACATGTGTTTCGATATAAATCTTTTTCAAGCCATAAAGACAAAATAAAATGTAAATAATTCGCCTAAACATCAAAGTTGTCAAAATAGTTTGCGACACAGATTAAAATGCAAATAGGAATGCTTCACACACGTCGTTTCTCACTTTGTACTTCTAGTTTTTAGATCGTGCAAAATAAGTTCAGCCGTAAATCTGCTCAGTTTCACTTTTACTGCATTACCATTTAGATTGTCAAATATGTGAATATAAGCTGCTTCTACAGCCTGCCTATGCTTCTTTGTCCAACCCCTACACAACACAGACATAACATCCGGGGAGATGTCTTGCCTCATCTACGTGTTGCACAAGGGCGTTGGACAGACGGTGGTACCTAAGGTCACTCTTATGCTCCTTTTGCCTAGTTTTAATGCCCCTGTATGTTTCACCGACGTAACATTTATCACATACACCACAAGGAATTTTGTAAACGACACTATCCTCATTTCAAGATTTTTAATGGTCAGGCCCGCTGGGGATGAAATATTGATAGTTTCCCTTACAAAATTGTCCACAGCTTCTACTTCTTTTGATGCTGGGACTGAGAGATACCTCCTCTTGCTATTCCTTGTGGCGTTTGAAGCTCTAGCTTGTATTTTGACGGCCCTCTTCTCTAGCTGACATAAAAGACCTGGCGGGTACTTGAGTCCAATAAATACTTCTTTAATGTAGTTCGGCTCGTCCCTGATAAATTCTTCTGAGCAAGTGCGAAGTGCTCGAAGATAAAATCCCAGCAAGACTCCAGTTTTTGTTCGACTGCTGTGCGCCGAGTAGAAGTGTATCAGGTCGTTCTTGTTGGTGGGCTTCCTGTACACTGAAAATACAGCCTTGTTGCCCCGATTATGGATGCATGCGTCCAGAAATGCAATAGTGCCATCTTCCTCCTCTTCGGAGGTAAATTGTTTCTTCTGATGCACACTGTTCAGCTGCTGCAAAATACAATTTAAATCCACATCTTTGTTGATGATGACCAGAATGTCACCGACATACCGGAGCCAGGTCGTATCGGTACCAGCAATGCTCAAGAAGTGGTCCGCTTTTAATGTCTCCATGAAAAGGCAGGCGAGTACCGGGCTCAACGGCGAACCCATCGCCAGGCCATCAATCTGCAATCTGACGGAGGTATCTCTCAGTCCCAGCATCAAAAGAAGTAGAAGCTGTGGACAATTTTGTAAGGGAAACTATCAATATTTCATCCCCAGCGGGCCTGCATTAAAAAATGACCATTAAAAATCTTGTACAAACGAAGAAGAAAGGTTCTACTAATGAGGATAGTGTCGTTTACAAAATTCCTTGTGGTGCATGTGATAAACGTTACGTCGGTGAAACATACAGGGGCATTAAAACTAGGCAAAAGGAGCATAAGAGTGACCTTAGGTACCACCGTCTGTCCAACGCCCTTGTGCAACACGTAGATGAGGCAAGACATCTCCCTGGATGATATGTCGGTGTTGTGTAGGGGTTGGACAAAGAAGCATAGGCAGGCTGTAGAAGCAGCTTATATTCACATATTTGACAATCTAAATGGTAATGCAGGAAAAGTGAAACTGAGCAGATTTACGGCTGAACTTATTTTGCACGATCTAAAAACTAGAAGTACAAAGTGAGAAACGACGTGTGTGAAGCATTCCTATTTGAATTTTAATCTGTGTTGTGTCGCAAACTATTTCGACAACTTTGATGTTTAGGCGAATTATTTACATTTTATTTTGTCTTTATGGCTTGAAAAAGATTTAAATCGAAACACATGTGTAGCCAACTTAAAGTAATATAACCAAAAACCTTCCCAGTGTTTTCCAATTATAATTCGAAGATTGGCTTGTCATGTGCATTGTGTAGTGTGCATTGCTCCGTTCAACATCTATGTGCGTGCGTTTGAGCAACAAATTGCACTTGTTTTTGTTACAATTGTAGCGACTGACTTCTCCTATTTTTGGGTTCGAGATTATAAGAGATCGTTAAATAAATAAGCAAATACCATCAGCCCTCCAAGCAGTGCTTGAGTTGAGCCTGAATTCCCTCTTGAATGCAGGTCCGCATACAACGCCAAATTCAAGAATGTGTCAAGCCACTCTTAACCCTCGCCCGCACATGCCATTTTCCCATCCTAGAACGCATATGGGGGGGGGGGGGTTGCCACGGGTTCCGGACAAAAAGTCAAATGATAAAAGGTAAAAGGATGATTAGTCAACGGACATTACGTAAAAAGCAAGAAGTCAAAAAGATATCCGGGAATCGGCTGCCACCCCCCCCCCCGCGCCATTTCGTTCCTGTTGGAGATAGAGCTTCGCACCCCCCCCCCCGCGCCATTTCGTTCCTGTTGGAGATAGAGCTTCGCGGTAAAGACAAAAAAAAATATTTGGGAAGAGACGAATCCAATGATACCCAGTTTTACCTTCTCAGGTCAGCCATTGACCTTCCAGGTCAGGTCAAACTAACCCTCGCATGTGTGCGGCGTTTGCCAGCTTCTAATGTGTAGGGGGGGATCCGGTTGGACCCACCCCCCCCTTGCCGTTTGGCCCCTGATCGAGTAGAGCTTCGCGGAAAAAACGAGCGTGTTGCCCGTGACGAGAGGAAGCCGATGATACCCAATTTTAAGGTCCTAGGTCATTGGTTGACCTTCCAGGTCAGGTCAATGACCCAAAGTCGGGAAAATCGGGACCTGTTAAAAAGTCGTAAAGTGTGGCTGCTGAGAGGTTTTTCGGGGTGCTGATCACGAATATCGTGTTAGTTTTGATCACAGATGATGTCTTTAAGCATTTAGACCAGGTCGGGTCAGGTCAGGTCAGGTCAACCAGTAGGCGTCGTGACGGGTATTCGTAGTACGTGTCAACCGCCTCTGACAGCTTCGTAACATGTTACGAAGGCACCAAAACTACTTCGTAAATGTTCAAATGGTCGCTAAATTCGAATTCAGCTCCAAAAACTAGCCTAGAAACATGTACACTCGAAAAAGTGAACCGAGGTCACCCGAGGTCACCAAAGGTCAATGACCTGACCTGACCTTCAGGTGACCTTGACACCCACCCTAATGCATGGAAGCAACATCAAATCACATGTTTGAACGTTTGAAACCACGAAAAGCTTGCAAACGCGCGGCTAATGCGAGCCGACATACGCAGAATCGCGATTCCGGCCAAACATAGTCTCGAAAAAGAGGTCACAGGTCAAAGGTCATTTGGGTTAGGGTCATGAAATTTTCAGAGTAGGTGTAGAATTGATCAATGTGAGGGTACTGAAAGTTTCGTCGTAATCGGCCGCTTTTTACGCGAGTTATTCGCGAAAAACCATGGGGGGGTCCATCCGACCCCCCCCCCCCTACACATGCGAGGGCTAACAAATGTTGCTGTTTTGGGTCACCGTTGGATATCAAGTGCGCTGCTTATCATATACCGATGACGATGCCGTTTTCTGGTGCCAAGTCCGCTAGAAACTCTTTGTCACACTACCCGACCAGATTTTTGCTGCTGAGGTCATTTCAGGTCAAGCTAGGTCAAGGTCACTGTTATGTGTTTGTATGTCTGTGTGTGACTGTGTGTATACTGATGTGTGCACCGATTGTTTATATGTCGGTACATGAATTCATGATCTGAGAAGCTTTTACCAAAAATGCAGTTAAAAAACTTCACGAAAAATAAATTCAGCTTGCCTAAAACGCAATTGTTTTAGATGACCTAGGTTGACCTTGACCCTGACCTTGACATCTGTACATCGTCGAACAACATGTTCCATGATAGGTGGGAGGTAAGACTGGCAAAAAAGGCCGAAATCAAGGTGTCAAAAGCTCACAAGGCCCATAGCCAACGCAAGATGTTGAGAATTGGTCATTTGGGTCATGACATGACCTGAAAAACAAGGTCATATCTCCGAAACCAAAAACTACAGAACCTTGAAATTTTCAGTGGACATCAAGAAAGGATAGAGAAGCAGCTATACGAGAAATCAGGCTTATAGCTCTTAAGATGTTGAGTGCAGAGCAGAAAGACTACCTGCGGGGGTGGCAGCCCCTCCCCATGTGCGGGCGAGGGTTAACCCTCGCCGGACCTATTGGTTTTCTACATACGCGCCGGCCGAGGGGGGGCGGGTACGACCCCCCCCCCTCGCCGTTTCGCCCCTGGTGGAGCTAGCGCGTCGCGGAAAAAACGAGCGTGTGCGCCGTTACGAGACGCAGAGATTGGTACCCGATTTTAAGGTCCTAGG